ATGAATCTCTATATGATATAATTGAGCCAAGGCGATTGGTACTCGAATGGTAGCTATTCGGGCAACTTGTACATAGGTATCAAAGAAATTAATACCTTACCTTTGTTTAAATCCTTTTACACTAGTCTTGCTTTATATTTTCAATAGTACCATCGGCCTTTATTTCCTTTTGAAAATCCATTTACATCCTAAGGGCTTAGCACCAGAAGGTAAATCCACTAATATCTAAGTGTCATTCTCAAGTATCAATTTCATCTCATCATTGACTGCCTCCCTCCAGAAAGGAGCTTCACGTGAGGACATGGCATCTTGGAAATTTTTAAGATCTTATTCCAAAAGATGCATCAGGAAATCTAGACCAAAATCAGTTGGCTTCCTGGTTCTCTTACTTCTCATGGTTCTAAAGTCTCAGGGCTTTCATGCTCATCAATTTTATGCTTACTATCGTGTTTCATATTCATTATGCTGCTCACCAATAAATGTGTGTTCAAAAAATTCTGCATCCCTGGACTCGAATACCTCGTTAAATTCCAGGTCTAGAAATCTATATGCTTTGCTGTGTTCAACATGGCCCACAAAAACACACTTTACAGATCTAGGTTTAAGTTTGGGTCTCTTAAGGTCAAGGAGCCTTACCAAGGCTGCACATCCCAAACCTTGAGGAATCGTAAAAGAAGTTTCCTTTCTTCCAAAGTTCGTATGGTGTAGCATTAGGTTTTGAATATGTTATCCGGTTTAAAATGAAACAAGCAGACGTTAGGGCTTCTCCCCAAAGATTAGCAGGGAGGTGTGAGTGGATGAGCATGGCATTCACCATATCCATAAGAATGCGATTTTTTCTTTCAGCTAAACCATTCTATTGTGATGTGTATGGGGCAATAACCTGGTGAATAATTTCATTTTCTTCACAATAGGTAGTGAAATTGGCGGAACAATATTCACCACCTATGTCACTTCTAAGAACCTTAATTTTAGAATTTGGTTTTTGGAGGGAAAAATTATCCTAATTTTCTATTTTTATTCAATTTCAAGGGATGTATATCATAGTTTTAGTTTTAGGGTATATTTCTAGGGTTTTTCGTTTTTAAGAATTCTAGAGATTATATAAATTTTTTTTTATTACGTGAGTACTATTCATGAGTACTATTCACAGGTGGGAGAAAGCCTTA